TTGATCCAGGGAATATCCGATTGCCTCTCGGGGGATCAGGGAGGAATTTGTTCCCCTGCAGCAGCAAATTGCATCATGCTTTGCAGGGTTATTTGCTTTCCTCTGGATCAACTGTGGGTATAGGATGATAACTTTTTTTTTTTAATGGATTAACTGGATGGACTTTTGTTTTTTTTTTCAGCCAGACTAACTATGTAACTGCTATTTTTCCTCCCACAGCTCTCTGGGCTTCTTATGCAGCCGAGAACAGAGGGAATGTGATTATAAAAAAGGGGAAAACAAGATATTTATAATTTTTTTTTTATCTATATACAAATGTTTTGCCTTTTATTTCTATTTTAAACTGAATGTGTTGCTTTACAAGGTGGGGGTTTACAATCACATTAAGTAACTTTTTTTTAAGAAGGCAATTGCAGCCATTGTAGAAGAAATTTAAAAAAATTACTAAGGGTTTGAAAATGTGTTCTAAGCTAAGATAAAATATATTAGGATTGTAGATATTAATATTGACAGATATATTTTCTAGAGCCCAACGATTTTTTTACTGCTACAGTGGTATAGTGTGCAGCAGCTGTCCATTCAGGATGCAGTGAGCTGGCTCTAGGGGGGTGGTGTGATGTGTTTAATGGCATCAGAGACAGCGCTCTCTCCTGGTTCTCCTCCTATCTATCCTGACGCTCCTACAGCGTTTCCTACAACGGTGCCACCTCCCCTTCCCTCCTCCTCTCTGTTGGGGTCCCCCAGGGCTCTGTCCTTGGACCCCTTCTCTTCTCCATCTACACCTCCTCCCTTGGCAAACTCATACACTCCCATGGCTTCAACTACCACCTCTACGCTGATGACACTCAAATTTACGTCTCCACCCCTCACCTCACCCCCACATTCTCCTGCATCACTCACCTCCTAAACGACATCTCTGACTTGATGTCGCTCCATTTCCTCGAGCTTAACCTCTCCAAAACCGAGCTTCTCATCTTTCCCCCTCCCCGTGCCCCCCCCATCCTATCCATCACTACCAACAACACCACCATCAATCCCGCCCCGCAAGCCAAAGTCCTTGGCGTCATTCTGGACTTAAACCTTTCCTTCCAATCTCATGTCAAATTACTTACAAACACATGCAGGCTCCACCTTCTCAACATCGCCAAGATACGCACCTTCCTTACCCCAGACACCACTAAACTACTCGTACACTCCCTGATTATCTCACGCCTTGACTACTGCAACTCCCTTCTCACCGGCCTACCCCAGTGAAGGCTCTCCCTGCTTCAGACCATCCTGAACTCAGCGGCTAGACTCATCCACTTCACCAACCGCTCCACCTCTGCCACCCCCCTCTGCCTATCCCTCCACTGGCTCCCTATAGCCCAAAACATCAAATTCAAACTACTCACTCTGACCTACAAAGCCATTCACAACACTGCCCCTAACTACCTCACCAACCTGATTCCCAGGTACCACCCTACCTGTACCCTTCGCTCTTCACAGGACCTCCTTCTATTTTGCTCCCTGGTCTCCTCCTCCCACACACGACTGCAAGACTTCTCCAGGTCCTCCCCCATCCTCTGGAACTCACTACCCCAATCCATCAGACTGTTACCTTCCCTCCTCACCTTCAGGTGCTCCCTGAAAACCCACCTCTTCAGGGAAGCCTACCCTCACCTAACAGCCGTTCTCCTTCATTCCTCCTACCACTCCATCCCCCACAGCCACTTCCTCCTCTACCACTACCCCCTCCCTCCTAGATTCTAAGCTCAAAAGAGTAGGGCCCTCTTACCCCTTGTGTGCTTTTTGTAGTTGCTGTACTGTTATATGTATTGTCCCCCCCTCTATTGTACAGCGCTGAGCAAACCCTTTGGTGCTATATAAACTCGATGTAATAATAATAATAATAATAATGGCATCACACTGCTCTCTTTTTTTATTTTTTTTTTTTTTGCCTGAAATTTATGTGAAGTGTACAGAGTGACACTTCATGCATGCCTCTCAACAGCAGCACAGTGCATTACGCTTGCTGTGATGACATGCACGGCCATCCACAGAGGTGCAATATTATGCAAACACACTGAGTTCTGGTATGCACTACTGATTTCTATGCATCCTTGCAGTTACTTGAATGAATCCATGAGAAAAATGCAGGTAACGGCACACAGTGTGAACAGGCCCTTAGTCATGTGGATAACCCTGTCTTTCGAACAGCACTGGGCTAAACAGTTTATTCACTAGGGCAATGCAATGATTACGGGCATCCATAACATCAAAAAAGTAATCTCTCACAGATCTGACTGAAGTAACGTGTACTATGATTACTTGTTATGGATGATTTAACTCTGCAAATCATTATTACTATTTGCACTGCTTTCTTGAATAAACCCCTGTAGTTTCTCTTGCTGGTCTTCAGTTGCTCTTGTACATACTGAAGGAAACATGTTTGCATGACATGATTACTAACAAGCCTAAGTTATAAATCATAGATCATATAAAATGTTAAAAAAAGAGTTCTTTTTAAATGTTTTTATTGAAATTTTAAATGAAAGCACATCCATAGTTTGACATGACAATGCTATTATAGATTAATATGCATTCTCAATGAGCATGCATAGTGATAAACAGATACCAGAAGTGTAGCATTAAACAGTGTAAAATGCATAGCTGTCAACAAACAATGAAAGAAGCAAAGTTCTGATATTACATCTGATGTCAGAAGTAACCAAGTTTGATAACCTGTTAGAAAGGCTTACTTTTTAAAACCATTGTCTAGTTATAAAGGAACTTCTCATCCAGGAAAACATAATAAACAGGTGACCTTTATGGAATGGCCAGCAAGAGGTGTATAGATGTAGTGATCATAAAGCAGGAAGAAAAGTAGAAGGAAAGAAAGAGATAAATAGGTTCTGCTTCACACTATTTCAGCAAATTATTATGAGATCAGTACCGATCTCAGACCCAACTCCTGGAGCAGACAATTTCCCCTCAGCCTGAGACAAAGGTTAGCTGATTCCATCGTTGGGTGGTGTAGCTGATTCCAGGGTTCCCAGATTCATAAATCTGTTTTTTTATGAAGATAGGTCACCCTAATCTAGGATAAAGGTGTGGTATGTATATTTAGGGTAAACCCCATGTGTTTTTTTTTGGGGATCCTACATTAAAATCTAAAATCATATCCTAGGATCTAGGATAAGGGTTTGGTATAATTGAAGGGAACCTACAGCAGCTTGATTTATAAACAGTAGTAAGTGGCTAAGAGCCATCATTTGCTAAGAAATGATAATGCATTGTTGATGTATTGCATACATTGTTATTTAAAGGAATTTTGCATATTTAATATTTCATTTATAGCATTATTGAAAACACTGCTCCTAGCCAAACTGAATAGAATATTTATGTTTTGGTACATATTTCCAGGGCAGTGCCAAGTCCCCATGCTATTTGTTTGGTAATCCCGTGCCTATTAACCTAAAAAATATTCCTGTTTTTTAACCTTCAGTGCCCATTGACTTCAGAGAGGTTCAACTTCAGCAACAATATGCTGAACCTGCCACAAACCAAATCTAGGTACATTTTGTTAATAACCTAAATACAGGTTTTTAGTTGGGGGGGATGTTTAGCTCAATGGTAGTTGCAAGTTTAATACAGTGAGTCCAAGTCACACTGGCATTATAGCTAAGGGCCTGGTAGCCCACATTATAGAAAACAAAACAAAAGCCCATCCAGGATTCCTACACTGGGGTTTCATCTTCATTCAGCAAACAAATTAAAAATACCAAGCCACCTGGTTTTCTGGTTAACAGTACATCTGCTTATTTTGGTCTTCCAGACCACTTGCTATTCAGGCTCTCTCTCTTTCTGTAGGTAGGTGACACAAACTTGCTGTTACTATCACAAGGCCTTCTTGACAGGGTTGTAACAGTATCTACAGCTTGCATTCCTCAGAGACTTCCGGCTTCTCTCCAGTCCCCCTGGACTCACTAGCCTCCACAGCTTCCTCAATCTCCCCGACCCTCTCTTGGTCTCCCAGACTCTGAGTTCTGGCCAGACTTTCCCAGCCCTTGGGCCCAGAATCCCCCTCACAGGGGTTGTAGTCTCCAACAAGGACTCTCAGCTGTCCTGACAGGGTTCTGTCTTGAAGCAACTCCAACTCCCACTACCTACTGCTTTCACCCACCCCTTCTTTATAAGGGCAGTGTGCACATGGGCACACACCTTGCTAGTTATCCACAACACCTGGACACAGGGTTGGAGATTTCATCCTGCCCAAGACTCTTAGGAATCTCCAAACCACAGAGCCCCATCCAGCAATGCAAAGATCTATATACAAATACAAATCTATGTTCTGTAGCATTGCAGTCAGCAGACATGCAAACTCTGTGTCGTTTCCCTGGCCATTTTCATAGTGGCCGAGCCTCACACTGTCACAATATGCACTATATTGCCAAAAGTATTGGGACACCTGCCTTTACACGCACATGAACTTTAATGTCATACCAGTCTTAGTCCGTAGGGTTCAATATTGCATTGGCCCACCCTTTGCAGCTATAACAGCTTCAACTCTTCTAGGAAGGCTGTCCACAAGGTTTAGGAATGTGTCTATGAGAATTTTTGACCATTCTTCAGAAGCGCATTTATGAGGTTAGGCACTAATATCGGACAAAAAGGCTTGGCTCGCAGTCTCTGCTCTAATTCTTCCCAAAGATGTTCTATCAGGTTGAAGTCAGGACTCTGAGCAGGCCAGTCAAGTTCCTCCACCCCAAACTCGCTCATCTCTGTCTTTATGGTCCTTGTTTTCTGCACTGGTGTGCAGTCATGTTGGAACAGGAAGGGGCAATCCCCAAACTCTTCCCACACAGTTGGGAGCATGCAATTGTCCAAAATGTCTTGGTATGCTGACGCCTTAAGAGTTCCCTTCATTGGAACTAAAGGGCCAAGCCTAACCCTGAAAAATGGCCCCACACCATAATCCCCCCTCAACCAAACTTTACACTTTGCACAATGCAGTCAGGCAACTGTATCCAATGCTTTGCATTGCACTTGGTGATGTAAGGCTTGGATACAGCTGCTTGGCCATGGCAACCCATTCCATGAATCTCTCTACGCACTGTTGTGCTAATCTGAAGGCCACATGAAGTTTGGAGGTCTTTAGCTATTGACTCTGCAGACAGTTGGTGACTTCTGCGCATTGTGTGCTTCAGCATGCGCTGACCCTGCTCTGCCATTTTACTTGGTCTACCACTTCATGGCTGAGTTGCTGTTGTTCCCAGTTGCTTCCTTTGTTATAATACCACTAACAGTTGACCGTGGAATATTTAGTAGCCAGGAAATGTCACGGATGGACTTAATGCACAGGTGGCAACTATCTCGGTACCACGCTTGAATTCACTGAGCTCCTTGGAGTGACCCATTCTTTCACAAATGTTTGTTTCACAAATGCAGTCTGCATGTCTAGGCGCTTGATTTTATACACCTGTGGCCATGGAGGTGTTTGGAACAGCTGAATCTGATGATTTGGAGGGGTGTCCCAATACTTTTGGCAATATAGTGTATATATACAAATATATATAGTATATATATATATATATATATATATATATATATGTCCAAAAGCCCCTTTGGGTGCCTCTCATACAGTAACTCAAAGGGAAAGAACCCTGCGGGTGATTGGGGAACCTCTCTGATAGCAAAGTATAATGTTAACTAATAGGCAAATCAGTCAGGAACACAATCTGCCAATGTATGTGCATGAAGCACTGTAATCCAAGATAAAGCTTTAAAAGTTACAATCAAACATTCTTGTCCAGGTTTTAAGTAATTTCATCTGGTTCTTTAGAGCTCTGTTCTAAACATTTATTATTTCAAAGTATTAGCTACAGTTTTCTTTGCTATTCTAGCATCTGACAAACAGCTTCTTTTTTCTAACTGACACATACTATAAATTCCCACAAAGCCAAGTCCTCAAACCATCTGTTTTAGCCTGAAAATGACATGCTAATTGTATTTCAATCCTTTGCTTTTTCTATGCTAAGCTTTCTGTGGCAATCTGTTAACATCCTTTCATCACTAATGGATCTTTTCCTTCGTTGCCAGTTTAAGAGGTGCACTTTTTAAACATTATGATTAGGATTTTTCTTACTTCTAATAACATAGCTGTGATCCTTATAGTGTAGTAATAAACCAATGTGTTATTTAGTAAAGACATATTGTAGAAACCTCTAGTGAAAGCAAATAATAATGGTTTCCAGTACCAAAAATTTGCTGTGTTCTTTCCATATTTGAAAATGTCTTCAATTAACTTATTCCTATTCAGGTGACATCAATCCTTCATTACTCCTTCCATTACAGCTGGCATAAAAATATCAGGTTTTGGTTGGTGTCAGAACTTAGAGGACCAGTGAGGTCACCCCCTCATCATGTGACATTGATTAGGCCTAGACATGTTTTAAATCCAAGTACTGTCGCATTGAATACTGGGTACCTTGTGCCAGCTAAAGTAGAGCAAGGTGTGGCAGGAGATCTATATAGAGCTAAGTATGAGTGGGTTGGTGGGGGCCTTTTCATTCAATCATTCATTGTCATTTTGCCCTGTGTCATCTCAGGAGAGAATCATGGAGGCTGCCACTACTGACCTCTCCTTCTGAAAATATTAGTTGGTGGATGTCATTAACATTGTCAGACAGATATTACAGAAACATTGGCATTTGTTAACAGAAGATTCCATTCTTGTTAACAGAAGATTCCATTCTTAAACATTTTGTTGATGGTCAACCTCGGTTAACATCCTGAAGAGGCTATTCACTCAGAGAACCAGTATGTAAGTTCAGAGTCTCTTCTCAAGATATGGGTCTAAAAACCCCTGCGGGTCCCAACTAGGAGATACTTATAAATATGGCCTCTGCCCCTACCATAAATATATAAAAACAACAGACAATTTGGAATTACCACAGCTGGTTAGAGTCCATATAGGGGGATTGTGGTGGTGGATATTTTTCATCTATATTTTTGTGATTGCTTCTCTCCTATTTATTACTAAAGGATACCTGGTGTATGATTTGTTTTATTGTAGTCTTAGAATGATAGTTGGGAGAATAGACCGGAATAAAATTTGCTATTGAATGTTGGAGTTTATGCAGCACATATACACCTTATTGAGCCTCTTTAAGGGCAACTTTAAGATGGGTAATGGAAACCTCTTGTTATAATCTCAAGTTTTGTTTTTTTTTTAAAATCAAACTGATATTTAGAAATGCCCAGTTAAATAAAAAAAAAAAAAAAGAACCACTTTGCTCAAATTATAGCAGTTGCCCAGACCATATAACACTTCTTATATGTGATTCCCTTGAAGAAGCCACGTGTCCTGGTGATGAAATGTAATGAAGCTTTGGATGATATCATTATGCTGAACAGCAATCCTGGAAGTGCAGTATTGGTAATGTCGATGAGTATACCAGGACAAACGTGTCTATGCTGTTGTTTATAGGTTTATCCTGTGGTAGATGTGAGTGTATATTTTATTGTGTTGGCAAATAAAGTTTTAATACAGTGAAGCACTATACAGTATTTCTCTTCTATTTGAGTGATATGGGAGAGAAGTGGAAGAGATTGAAGACACCATTTGCTGGAGTATTGTCCTAAAAGTCCGGAAAAGAAACCCATTTTAAGAAGAACATACAGTAAACTAGTTATGACCTTACATTTTGTGAGATTCATAAATATAAGGTGAGCGGTGTCGGTGACTGGTAGGGGTGTTACCACAAATAGTGTGGAGTGCACAGGCCAAATATATGAACACAGAGGGTTAAGGAAGACATAAAATAGACTGAATTTTTTTTTGGGACATAGTTTATGACACAGTCTATTCACAGTATTCACAAAACACATTTGCCGCAGTCCTTATACCCACAAATAATGCTGTAATTATTGTGCCACAAATGAAAGTCCCATAGACACAGATAAATATCAGCACAACAATTTCTAAAAATGAAAATCTTCTATTATATATGCTTTCTGAATGGATGGGAGCAGCTCCAATGCAGGTGGACCTCCAAGTTCATTCTCCCACATCAGCCATTTGCACACGCTCTCTAGAGCACACAATGCCTTGATCTGTGACTGCTGTGTCCTCTAGACACAGCAGAGCACAGATCAGGGTACAGGACTGCTGTGATTGTGACCAATCACATTACCAGAAAAAAACAATGGCTGTCATGAAATCCTTGTTTACTGCTGTGATCTCTGTGATTGTTCACAGCAATCACATGGTACAGGGTCAATGCCAGGAGTTAGCACAGGAGATGACCAGATAAATGTAGATACACACAGAAACTGGGACCAGACCATGTGTATGTATCTTTAACCACTTCCTGACTGCCCTATAGCAGATATACTGCTACAGAGTGGTAGGGGTGCACAAAATTACGTGCACAGCACAGCCATCCAGAGCAGTGTGCTTACAGTGAAGCACACACACTGCCCCCTATGTAAAACACTCCCTGCACACAATTAACTCTTTGATCGTTTGATTAACTCTTTGTTAACCCCTTCCTGCCCAGTGCCATTAGTACAGTGTCAGTGCTTTTTTTTTTAGCACTGATCACTGTATTGGTGTCACTGGGGATGACAAATACCACCAAAAGAAAGCTCTATTCATGGGAAAAAAAGTACATAAATTTCATTTGGGTGCAGCGTTGCATGACCATGCAATTGTCAGTTAAAATAACACAGTGCCGTAACACAAAAAATGGCCTGGTCAGAAAGAGGGGTAAATCCTCAGGAGGGCAAATGGTTAAGTACCCTCCCAGAAGGTGTGGCCAGGTGGAGCTGATTGCTGGTAGACACCTGCTGACTGCTGGCAGACTCCTGCTAGTGGACACTAAAATTGCAGCTTTCCCCCCAGGGAAGCACACTGCCACCAGCAGGAGAAACAGGTCGTGACAGCCAATCACAGTGTAAAAAAAAAAACTGACCAGTCAGTGTCTCTAATCACCCCCTCACCAGTCACAGTATCCCTGATCACAAGCACACTTGATCACCATCAGACCAGTCATAGTGTCCTTGATCACCATCAGACCAGTCATAGTGTCCTTGATCACCATCACACCAGTCAAAGTGTCCCTGATCATCGCCACACCAGTCATAGTGCTACCATAAGGATTCGTTCACATGTGTGATGCTGCCTGTAAAGCTATTCATGTTCAGATCTCTCTTCAGAGAACATTTGATAGGTGGTGAAGAGGTGTTGTATTGCCTCTTCACTGGCTGTTTTAGCTCCGTGGACCTCGCACAAGCCCCCCTGTTTACTTCAATGAGTTATGATCAGTGGGTGTACAGGGGGTATAATTCCTGCAGGAGTTGCAAAGCAAATCATTGAAGCCATGGCATGTATACACCCCTGACTGCAGCCTGTGCAGCTAAAGAGGGCAGTGGTTTAAGGGAGGTAAAACCGAAGGTCACCTGTAAGGTTTTTTCGATGTCCACACTCACATATGAATGACCCCTAATAGTGCAGCCAGCATCAGTGTCTCAGTATTCCTGATTGCTGCCACACCAGACCAATGCAGCCAGCAACGGTTTTCCTGATCACCACCATACCAGTCCCAGTGTCACCAGACAAGTGTAATCCAACAACAGTGTCCCTTGTTGTTGCCAAGTCAGTCCCAGTGTCACCAGACCAATGTGAGTCAGCAACAGTTTTACTGATTACTGACACCCTAGTCCCAGTGTCACCAGACCAGTGTAAGCCAGCAGCATCAGTGAACACCGCTGTCCTACTGTCACCAGACCAGTACAATGTGCAGGATTTTGTGTGGACATTAAATTTTATTGAACTTTTATATGGAAATTTTTGGGATGCAAAATGCTATTGATTTGGTCACTTTGATGAGTGGAACTTATTTTGTTTGATTTAAGAGAATACGATACACATTACTTTGTACAGAGCGTGCATACTTTTGAGTTTTGCATGTGTTTTTTGTATGTGGATGAAACACATTATTGTGCAGGCTGGCTCTCTGCCTATTTATTAGTAAGCTTGCGTACCAACACTGTATGTTATTTTTCCCCTTGAAAACCCAAAGGTGCTCCTTCAATTTAGGACCCCTCTATGCTTCTAGGCTGTGAAAAAGTCTGGTATCCCCATACTCAGGAGGAATAGCAGAATGTGTTTTGGGGTATAATTGTATGTATGCCTATGCTGTATGTGAGAAATAACTTGTTCAATTAAAAACTTTGTGAAAAAAAAAATGTATTTAATTTCTTAATTTTCCAAAAAATTGGGACGAAAAATTACAACTTCAAAAAAAAATGACCATGCCTCTTAATAAATACCCTGACCCTCCAATTTTCAAATGGGGCATACAGAGCTAAATGTCATTTTTTCTTCTTTCTTCCTTCTTCTGGGATTAGTTACTCAATGAGGGTTCTTGTGTTTGTAATTTCTGGAATAGT